GAGGGGTTCAATAATAGCAAAGAGATACAACATATAGTCAAGAAACTAGAGGTGCACCACCAAACAGAAGACAAGATACATACACTACACCTAAACCACAAGCAGTTACATAAAATAACTTTGACACATGCCACGTAGCAGCTTGCGCATGGTGTTCTGGAGGGTCCTGTTCATCCTCTCTGCTACTCCTTGCTGTTGATGGGCGTAGGGAAGGGAGATGAGCCGCTTGATTCCCCTTTCAGCCAAGTACTGCTTGAACCTCTGTGAGGTGTATTCTCCTCCCCCGTCTGACTGGAAGCTCTTGAGCTTAACTCCCGACTCTCGCTCTGCTACTGGGAGCCACACGACGAAGGCTTCGAAGGCCATGTCTTTGCTCGGAAGGTTTAGATGCCAGACGTATCGTGTGGCGGCGTCGATGAAGGTGATGGTGTAGTTGTACGCGTTTTGGCCAGGCTCGCGGTTGTACAAGATGTCGCTATACACCTTCTCGAGTGGCGCGTAAGCTGGTGCGCTTGGGTTGTGGTGAGACGCGAACGGTTGATGTGGTAAGTCAGCTTCGGGACAGGTGAAGCATGTTCCTCGAGCTCGCTGAAGTTCTCTGCCGTCAGTTAGGAGTAGAGAGTCTTTATCGAGCACGCCTGCTCTTATCGTGTTGTTTAACACCGTGTTGCTTGGGTGTCCCATTCTTGCGTGCCAGGTTCCTTCGGTGGCGCGATGTCCGGGTGAGCGCCGATACATATCGGAGTTGGAATAGAAGCTGGCGGTGAAGTTGGCGCTTCGATGAACTTCTCGTGGTGCTGGGTGTAGTTGTTGCGCAGGTGTCGGTGGTGTGTCGTCGACGAGGAGTGGTGCCGTTGAAGGACCAGCGACTGACGTTGACGTTCCTGCTGCTGCCGTTGATGTCTCTGCTGCTGCCGATGTTGTTTCTGCTGCTGCCGATGTTGTCTCTGCTGTTGCCGATGTTGTCTCTGCTGCTGCCGATGTTGTCTCTGCTGCTGCCGATGTTGTTTGAATTGTTGCTAACGCCCTTGTTCTTTCTGTCTCAGGGATGGTGTGTGAATACCAGAAGCCGCCGGGGCTGAAGTATGGATCAAGGTCTGGAGGGTGGGTCCAGGAAGTGAAGGTGACGATGCCGTCGCTGTCTGCTGTGCCGAGATCTGGAACAAAATCAAGAACGAAGACGTTATTTTTCAGGATCGCCTTTCCTATGTAGAGGCCGTCCTTCCCGTGGTACAGCTTGAACTCCTGAGTGGTGCTGTCTGCTTCAAGGTGGATACCTTTAGCCATCAGTTGGCTAACGCTGAGTAAGTTGTAGCCGAGGCCTTCTGCGATTAAGACCTTGGACATTTGTAGTATGACATTTGTCTCTCGTGACTGAAGTTGAACGATTCCTTGTCGTCGTGTGCGTAGGCTTTCGTTGTTGGCGACGGTGATGACTACTTCGCGTTGGAGTTGGTTCTCTCGTTGCACGAAGCGTCCTGAAGAACACATGTGTTGTCCGCAGCAACTGTCCAAGAACCACGTGTCCTTTCCGGATGGTTCGCTTTGGGCGATGGCTGCGTATGTCGGATTCGGCTGGAGTGAATCGCGGTGAGGTGTGGTGTCGTCGAGTTGTCCGTCCGGTGAGTAGTACGGTGGTGATCCCGTGATGCAGGAGTCGCTCAGTCTTGCCATGCAACTGACGATGTTCCTTGCTCCTTGTGCAGGTTGTCCTGTTGAGGTCGTTGAGGCTTTAATCTGGGTCGTGGGATTTGCTTGTGTTGAGACGACTTGATTGCTTGAAGGTCGAAGCTGTCGCTGTGAAGGCGTTGACTGTTGTCGATTCGTGCAGTGCGTGCGCGGGTGCCCTGACGTCTTGCAGATGTGGCAGAACGGAGGTATGGGCTTCTGTTGTTGTTGTTTGTTGTTGTTGTAGCGTCGCTGAGTGTGAAATGCAAATTCTGGTGCTAATGTCTTCTTCTTGTGTCGTTCTTCTTGCAGGTCCATGTCTTGCTGCTCGGCGTGGATTTCGGCGCAGAGCGCTGCTTCGAAGATTCTTCCGTGGGCTCGGAGAATAGCCTTTGTGGCGCGCCATTGAGGACCGAGGCCGCCAATGATAACTGTCACGAAGGCGTCTTCAGATATCGACCCTCCGCATCGAAGAAGCTTGTCGCGCAACTCGCGGCATCGGCTGATATACGCCATTCCTTTCTCGCCTGGTTTCATTTCAACCGTTGTCAGTTGCGCCATCAACCGACTTTGATTTACGCTGTCTGTTGCTTGATACAGGCTCTTCAAGTGGTTGTATGCGAGCTCCGCGGAGTTGCCGTAACCCCGGTAAGACCGTATATTCTGCTGTTGAGTCGGGGTGATGTTTCTCAGTAGAATCGTGTACGCCATCATCGACTGATAGGTGTACTGCTGCTTCTCATACTGTGTGCCGTTTGTTGGGTATGGCAGGGACCCGTCGAAGAAGCCAAGTATCTGCGCGCCTTCCATCATTAACTCGAATTCAAACGACCAGGTGAAGAAATCCTTTCCATCGAAAGGTCTTGACGTCTGCATCTTCAGAACGTGCGCGAACTGCGACTGAACTTGTAATGCGTCCAGTTGCTTTTCTTGTCCAGGTGAAGGCTGCGGGTGTGGCATAAAGCTAATGGACCCGCGCTCGTACGGAGCAAAGGTAGGCTGCTGCTGTTGATTTCCTCGTGTGTATGATGAGCCGTCGAGACTCATGGGAGTTGCTCCGTTGTTGTTGCTATTGTGTGACTGCGCAGGTGCCGATTGCTGGTGTTGCTCGTAGAAAGACATGAAGGAGAAGAACTTCTCCATCATACTTGGGTCGAAGCCCGCGGCTTGGTTTGCGGGAGTTTCGGTGGATGTTGCCCTGGGTCTTGTTGCCGTACCCTCCTCTGTCTGTAGACCAGAGGTAGGAGGTGGAGTAGGAGTAGTGCCCTGGGAGCCGCTGGAGGAGCTCCTTTCCTTTTGTGTAGCCATGCCTGTTGATGTTGTAGGTGTCTTGATAGTTGAATTCCCCCTGATAGCTCTCATACCATGTTGGGCTGATAAAATAGCCCTTAGGATCTTTGCAGGGGTGAACTCTGGGTAGGACTGATGAAATAGCGGAAGCGTTTAATGATGAGTCTGTGAACCACCTTGCGCTAGTATGTGAGGGCAAAGTAGATTGATTAAAACAAGGAGATACAAGATTATATAAGAGTACAAGGAATACGAAGGGATACAGTTATAACTGTTCTACTGTTGCTGTTGCGGTTCGATACAGTGACGACTCGGGCAACTGCTCTGTAGCGAGTCAGTTGTGTGTCCTTGCTGTCGCGCTGTATTCTGTCAGGTCAAAGGTCGCTGACCTTTGGCTTTCGCGTAACCTCCAACAGTTACTTTCAACCTCCGAGGGTTGACTCGCTGGTGCTTCGATATGCTTCGCTTCGTTTGTGCCTTAGGGTACATTCCGCTGTGGACATGTCCCTTAAGAAAGCGTCGCAATCGATTGTGACGCGTGAATACAGCATATGCTGCCAGGTGTCAGGATTCCAGACCGCGTGAGAATGTTCTGGCGTGTATTTATCATTGGATACCGTGAACCACGGAACAGTCGCACGCGAATTGCAAGCAACCGTGTCTTGGACCAGCCATCGCACCAGGGCTCTTGCTAGGATTTGGGCCTGTCTGAAAACACCAAAGTAAAAAATCGTTCTGTCTGACGATCAGACGGGCATATTTTTCTGGTCTGATTTTCCAGACGAATGTTGGAGCTTAGTCTGATTTTCCAGACTATTAAATTTGCATAGTCTGATTCAGCTAACACCCTTGTCTAGCATAATCACACTTGTTTTTGTTAATGAACGCGCCCCTGGCGCGGCGCTGACAGCTCGCTAGCTGACAGGCCTGTGGCTGTTGAGGGGCGTGCACGTGGCATTGAGGTGCTACGAGGGATCAGGTTGGGTGGAGGGACGCGAGAAGGAAGGGGGGGGCTGGGCTGTTGCGAGACTTCACGAGGGGCATGGGGAGGGGACCTGGGGAGGGGACCTAAGGCTGGGGGGAAGGGGGAGAAGGTCTGGACTAGGCCTGGAAGAGGAGCGAGGGCATCGAAAGGGGGGCTGAGCTATTAGAGAAGCGAGGGATCGGGGGGGGGGGGGGGGGGGGAGGGGGTTCGGTATCAGACGAATTGCAACCCGCTATCTGAAATTTCAGACTAAGTATAAGGCTTGCTCTGAAAAATCAGATGAACTAAAATTCGTAATCTTACGGATCAGACGAAGTAAAAATCCTCGTCTTGAAAATCAGATGAAACCCAAAATCAAGGTCTGAAAATCAGAAAATCAGACAAATTTGGTCTGATAACGAGAGCCCTGCATCGCACGCGGTTCCAAATGTCAGGCCCATCTGCCTGTATCTGGACATCTAGTTACAGCTCGAATTTTTTCACACGATTGTACAAAACGAGCAGGGATTGGTTGTTTAGAGCGCTAAAATATCGCGACAATCCCACGCCTGTCATCTCTGCAGGCCTGTGCTACATTGGGTGCGAAGTGGCAGTTTTGTCTGCCCATTATGGCCACACCCAAACTTTTCGAAGTGTGCATCGTGAATGTTGGAGCCAATCATGACGCAGCACATGTGATTATCGCGCACAATATCCAGGTCGCAATACATTCATTCTTTGTGACATGAAGTGTCGAGACGTTTGGACGCGACTCGGCGGAAAATTGATTGCGACACTTTCTTAAGGGACATGTCCACAGCGGAATGTACCCTTAGTGTTTCGACACGACAGAGGCGCTTAAGATCGATTGTTTCCAACAGTCCATACCGTACTATCGTTGTTGCTCCTTAGTGGGACACTTGGTTGGAAGATATAACAGGAAGCTAAAGATTGGGCTTAGCATATTTCAGGGATGCAATGCAACTGCTCTGGCCCTATCCCATGTGCGCCATGCTCTCAGCCTTGCTGTTACACGCCACGGTGGTACACTCCAGGTTGGGTGGCTCCAGCACACACGTCACCCCGTGCGCAGCCCTGCATCCGGCACACTTAGCGGTGATGCGGATTTCATCGGTGGAACCGACTGGAAATACACTTCTTCCGGCTTAAGCGTTTTGTTTAGCGGCAGGCGGTGGTTGAAGGTGGGGAAGAGGGTGAGGGGTGGCGCGTCCAGGAGCTGCTGGGCGGTGTAACGGCTGGGGAGGATGTGGTAACGCAGTAACCGGCGCTGGTGCGTGGGGGACAGGGCGGTCCAGCGGGCGAGGTAGCGCCAGTGACCCACGTTGCTGGGGACGAGCAGCGTGGCGGGCGCTGTGATGGGCTGCTGCCCGCCTTGCACTGCATGACGGGATATTGGTTTGGCGGGGGGAGAGGGGGGGGGGGGGGGGGGGGGGGGTTTGGAGAAAGGGGGGGAGAGGAGGGGGGTTGGGGGTGGTTGTGCAGTGTGGTGCGCATGGAATGAGGTGCGGTGCGGTGCGCGTGGGATCAGCTGCGGTGCGGTGCGCATGGAATGAGGTGCGGTGAAGTGCGGTGCTGGTGGAATGAGGTGCGGTGAAGTGCGGTGCTGGTGGAATGAGGTGCGGTGCGGTAAAATGTGGTGGGGTGTGGTGCGCGTGGAATGAGGTGTGGTTCGGTGCGGTGCGATTCGGTGAGGTGCGGTGCGGTGCACATGGAATGACGTGAAGTGCGCGTGGATTGAGGTGCAGTGCGGTGCAGTCCGCGTGGAATGAGGTGCAGTGCGCGTGGAATGAGGTGCCGTGTGGTGCGGCGCGCTTGGAATGTGGTGCGGTGCACATGGAACGGGCAAAAAACTACAGAGGCACGTGGGCATGGTGCTTACAGAAATTGCTGAAAATGGCGGCGAAGGAGGATAGAAACGCCTGCTGCGACACCTGCTGAAGAACAGACGCCGTTTCCGCTCGCCAGTCCGGCTCGCCCTGCGCCTCCGCTCTTCGCGAACTCAGCACGGCGAAAGCAAGAAGCAGGGCGGCGGCGCTGTTGGCGAGATTCGCCAATGGAGAAACTTCATCCCGCTGGCGAGCAGCCATCTAAGATTAGGACGGCGTTCCCACAGGATGTAATGTGTCGATGAACAGTGAAGGGCCCCGATATAATCCCTAGCAGACCCTGGAAACGCGGCTAGAGGAGCAACTAACTGCTCTAGGAATAAGCTACGTTGCCCGCCAAACCCTAATCAGCTCTTAATTCTAGTTTCAACCGCCCCGAATGACGCCATAATGGCAGAAGATGTGCAACGCTGCGACTGCGCAGTGTACTGCGGGTCGTGCGGAATTCGAAGGTTGATGGGGTCGCGGGGTAAGGTACGAGGAGAGTTCAGAAGGATGAAGCAGAACACGACTGAGCGAGTTGAGAAATTGCGCTCCACTCCCTTGGCTTGGGAGTGAGGTGCAATCGGGTGGGAATGAAGCGCGAGGTTCAGCTCAAAACGACGACGTTACACGTGGCATTCCATCTTCTGCCTGGCACAAAATCAGGAAAAGGGACCCACGAGAAGGAAATCTCCACCTTCAAAGATTGACAATAAGAAGCGATTTTTAGCTCATTAGAGGTATACCTTTCTCGGCCTTTTGGCTAAGATCAAGTGTAGTATCTGTTCTTATCAGTTTAATATCTGATACGTGGACCATCGGTCCACATGATATTAAATTAATTTGTTTTGGGGGCAGGTGCCAATGGCCAGCTTGCTGGTCGGCCCTCCGAGCGTCGCCTCGGTATTGCACTAACCCCGAGGAAGGCGCACCCCTCCCCCATTGGGGGTTCAAATAAAAGCATGAAATGGGATTTGGTTCGATACAATGCCATATATAAAAGTCATCATTTTGCAAGGAGATAAAAAATAATTGCTGGGCACTCTGTGCTGTAACTAATGGTGGCCACACTTGCAAGCAACATAGCCACATTGTGGTTCCACATTTCAGCTCTCGTGAATTCGCTTGTCCAGAAGGCGTATTCCAAGCCATTCGGCATTCAGTGCGATATACCGGAAGTCGCACATGTTGGAAGTTACTTCAAGCGACTGAATCCGTTCATAAGTCTATCAGCGGATCACAAAACGAAACAGAACTGCCCGACAATAAAAAAGGGTTAGATGCCCCCTCTAGGAGCACCACCACCTGCACTACCAGCAGCAGCATCCCCCCTCTCATCCTCCTCCTCACTCATCCCCTCGCTGTCCTCCTCGTAAGCAAGTCGCCCCGGCGTGCCCTCCATGCGGGTGGGCACGGCCACCCACTGCATGCCCGTCTGCTCATCCTCCTCCAGGATCTCCGCCGGCCGCCTCCCCCGCCCCTCCCGCACTGCGTGCCCGTGTGATGATGCCTGTGCCTGCTGGCCCTTGTCCGAATCATCGTCCTCCGATATCTGAGAAAGAAGGAGGCACGGGACGGGACGGGTGGGAAGCGCGGTTGGCGACACAGTGAGATGGATTGAGACAGAAAGAAATCCGCATGTGGAGAGTCTGATCTGATGGAGTGACAGGAGGGGGATTGGGACAGGACGGGGGGTTGGAAACAACAGCGGAACACAGTACTAGCCATGACCTTTTTCTTTTCTTAAAAGCCACGGGCACCAACCCCCTTCACACCAATTTCCCCAGTTCAGCTTCCTTCCACACCCTTCACTCCCCTCCCTTTCCACACCTGACTATTGCCTGTTTTCATGTTTTTCTTTCTTCATTGCAATCCACGCGCCATCAGCTTGCAGTGCAAAAGCATACATCGTTCCTCGCATCAGCTTACCTCGTCCTCTTCCTCTTCCTCTTCCTCCTCCTCTTCCTCATCCTCCTCCTCCTCGCCAATATCAACGGCGTCCTCTCCGGTCTCCTCCAGCTCTTGCAGGAACTGATGATGAGCCGCCACTCACACGACACACACCAGGTGTGTGCCAGGGGGCACGTACAAGACGGATAAGCAAGAACAAGTAGAAACGGGAAGGTCCGGGGGCCGGGGGGGAAGAGTTAACAGGGGAACCAGGGGTGCTGGGTTGGTGGAAAGATGGCCGACTCAAGTGTGGGATGAAAGCAGGCAGACACAGGGGGGTGCACAGCCACATGCATGAGCAAAACATACCCGCACACACTCGTCCTTCCACGCCCCTCTTCCTCCCACGCTCCTCTTCCTCCCATGCTCCTCTTCCTCCCATGCTCCTCTTCCTCCCACGCTCCTCTTCCTCCCATGCTCCTCTTCCTCCCATGCTCCTCTTCCTCCCACGCTCCTCTTCCTCCCATGCTCCTCTTCCTCCCATGCTCCTCTTCCTCCCATGCTCCTCTTCCTCCCATGCTCCTCTTCCTCCCATGCTCCTCTTCCTCCCATGCTCCTCTTCCTCCCACGCTCCTCTTCCTCCCATGCTCCTCTTCCTCCCATGCTCCTCTTCCTCCCACGCTCCTCTTCCTCCCATGCTCCTCTTCCTCCCATGCTCCTCTTCCTCCCACGCTCCTCTTCCTCCCATGCTCCTCTTCCTCCCATGCTCCTCTTCCTCCCATGCTCCTCTTCCTCCCATGCTCCTCTTCCTCCCATGCTCCTCTTCCTCCCATGCTCCTCTTCCTCCCACGCTCCTCTTCCTCCCATGCTCCTCTTCCTCCCATGCTCCTCTTCCTCCCATGCTCCTCTTCCTCCCATGCTCCTCTTCCTCCCATGCTCCTCTTCCTCCCATGCTCCTCTTCCTCCCATGCTCCTCTTCCTCCCACGCTCCTCTTCCTCCCATGCTCCTCTTCCTCCCATGCTCCTCTTCCTCCCATGCTCCTCTTCCTCCCATGCTCCTCTTCCTCCCATGCTCCTCTTCCTCCCATGCTCCTCTTCCTCCCACGCTCCTCTTCCTCCCATGCTCCTCTTCCTCCCATGCTCCTCTTCCTCCCACGCTCCTCTTCCTCCCATGCTCCTCTTCCTCCCACGCTCCTCTTCCTCCCATGCTCCTCTTCCTCCCATGCTCCTCTTCCTCCCATGCTCCTCTTCCTCCCATGCTCCTCTTCCTCCCATGCTCCTCTTCCTCCCATGCTCCTCTTCCTCCCATGCTCCTCTTCCTCCCATGCTCCTCTTCCTCCCATGCTCCTCTTCCTCCCATGCTCCTCTTCCTCCCACGCTCCTCTTCCTCCCATGCTCCTCTTCCTCCCATGCTCCTCTTCCTCCCATGCTCCTCTTCCTCCCATGCTCCTCTTCCTCCCATGCTCCTCTTCCTCCCACGCTCCTCTTCCTCCCATGCTCCTCTTCCTCCCATGCTCCTCTTCCTCCCATGCTCCTCTTCCTCCCATGCTCCTCTTCCTCCCACGCTCCTCTTCCTCCCATGCTCCTCTTCCTCCCATGCTCCTCTTCCTCCCACGCTCCTCTTCCTCCCATGCTCCTCTTCCTCCCATGCTCCTCTTCCTCCCATGCTCCTCTTCCTCCCACGCTCCTCTTCCTCCCATGCTCCTCTTCCTCCCATGCTCCTCTTCCTCCCACGCTCCTCTTCCTCCCATGCTCCTCTTCCTCCCATGCTCCTCTTCCTCCCATGCTCCTCTTCCTCCCATGCTCCTCTTCCTCCCATGCTCCTCTTCCTCCCATGCTCCTCTTCCTCCCACGCTCCTCTTCCTCCCATGCTCCTCTTCCTCCCACGCTCCTCTTCCTCCCATGCTCCTCTTCCTCCCACGCTCCTCTTCCTCCCATGCTCCTCTTCCTCCCATGCTCCTCTTCCTCCCATGCTCCTCTTCCTCCCATGCTCCTCTTCCTCCCATGCTCCTCTTCCTCCCATGCTCCTCTTCCTCCCATGCTCCTCTTCCTCCCATGCTCCTCTTCCTCCCATGCTCCTCTTCCTCCCATGCTCCTCTTCCTCCCATGCTCCTCTTCCTCCCATGCTCCTCTTCCTCCCATGCTCCTCTTCCTCCCACGCTCCTCTTCCTCCCATGCTCCTCTTCCTCCCATGCTCCTCTTCCTCCCATGCTCCTCTTCCTCCCATGCTCCTCTTCCTCCCATGCTCCTCTTCCTCCCATGCTCCTCTTCCTCCCACGCTCCTCTTCCTCCCATGCTCCTCTTCCTCCCACGCTCCTCTTCCTCCCATGCTCCTCTTCCTCCCACGCTCCTCTTCCTCCCATGCTCCTCTTCCTCCCACGCTCCTCTTCCTCCCATGCTCCTCTTCCTCCCATGCTCCTCTTCCTCCCATGCTCCTCTTCCTCCCATGCTCCTCTTCCTCCCATGCTCCTCTTCCTCCCATGCTCCTCTTCCTCCCATGCTCCTCTTCCTCCCATGCTCCTCTTCCTCCCACGCTCCTCTTCCTCCCATGCTCCTCTTCCTCCCATGCTCCTCTTCCTCCCATGCTCCTCTTCCTCCCATGCTCCTCTTCCTCCCACGCTCCTCTTCCTCCCATGCTCCTCTTCCTCCCATGCTCCTCTTCCTCCCATGCTCCTCTTCCTCCCATGCTCCTCTTCCTCCCACGCTCCTCTTCCTCCCATGCTCCTCTTCCTCCCACGCTCCTCTTCCTCCCATGCTCCTCTTCCTCCCATGCTCCTCTTCCTCCCACGCTCCTCTTCCTCCCATGCTCCTCTTCCTCCCATGCTCCTCTTCCTCCCATGCTCCTCTTCCTCCCACGCTCCTCTTCCTCCCATGCTCCTCTTCCTCCCATGCTCCTCTTCCTCCCACGCTCCTCTTCCTCCCATGCTCCTCTTCCTCCCATGCTCCTCTTCCTCCCATGCTCCTCTTCCTCCCATGCTCCTCTTCCTCCCATGCTCCTCTTCCTCCCATGCTCCTCTTCCTCCCACGCTCCTCTTCCTCCCATGCTCCTCTTCCTCCCATGCTCCTCTTCCTCCCATGCTCCTCTTCCTCCCACGCTCCTCTTCCTCCCATGCTCCTCTTCCTCCCATGCTCCTCTTCCTCCCATGCTCCTCTTCCTCCCATGCTCCTCTTCCTCCCACGCTCCTCTTCCTCCCATGCTCCTCTTCCTCCCATGCTCCTCTTCCTCCCACGCTCCTCTTCCTCCCATGCTCCTCTTCCTCCCATGCTCCTCTTCCTCCCATGCTCCTCTTCCTCCCACGCTCCTCTTCCTCCCACGCTCCTCTTCCTCCCATGCTCCTCTTCCTCCCATGCTCCTCTTCCTCCCATGCTCCTCTTCCTCCCATGCTCCTCTTCCTCCCATGCTCCTCTTCCTCCCATGCTCCTCTTCCTCCCACGCTCCTCTTCCTCCCATGCTCCTCTTCCTCCCATGCTCCTCTTCCTCCCATGCTCCTCTTCCTCCCATGCTCCTCTTCCTCCCATGCTCCTCTTCCTCCCATGCTCCTCTTCCTCCCACGCTCCTCTTCCTCCCATGCTCCTCTTCCTCCCATGCTCCTCTTCCTCCCATGCTCCTCTTCCTCCCACGCTCCTCTTCCTCCCACGCTCCTCTTCCTCCCATGCTCCTCTTCCTCCCATGCTCCTCTTCCTCCCATGCTCCTCTTCCTCCCATGCTCCTCTTCCTCCCACGCTCCTCTTCCTCCCATGCTCCTCTTCCTCCCATGCTCCTCTTCCTCCCATGCTCCTCTTCCTCCCATGCTCCTCTTCCTCCCATGCTCCTCTTCCTCCCATGCTCCTCTTCCTCCCACGCTCCTCTTCCTCCCATGCTCCTCTTCCTCCCATGCTCCTCTTCCTCCCACGCTCCTCTTCCTCCCATGCTCCTCTTCCTCCCATGCTCCTCTTCCTCCCACGCTCCTCTTCCTCCCACGCTCCTCTTCCTCCCATGCTCCTCTTCCTCCCATGCTCCTCTTCCTCCCATGCTCCTCTTCCTCCCATGCTCCTCTTCCTCCCATGCTCCTCTTCCTCCCACGCTCCTCTTCCCTCCATGCCACTCGTTCTACTCAAAGCTGAGAGGAAGCAGAGCAACAGCAAGAAGTGTGACTCACCGCCTCCTCCTCCTCCTGCTCGCGCGCCATGATGGCCTCCATCTGCTCCTGCGTCACCACCCTGCCTTGCTGTGGTGGGGCGAGTTGGAAGAGAGTGACAGGGAAGAGGGGAGAGTGGAGCGCGGAGAGATTATTGGAATGATAGAACAAGAACCCATCTGCTCCTGCGTCACCACATTGTCTTTCTGCCACGGGGCGAGCCAGTGGGAGGGAAGGACAGGGTGCAAGACACCAATACTGTGCGTCGGCGAGAGAGAGGGAAAGCGATGAGGTGTCATAACGGCCCCCACCTACTGGTGCGGTGGGGACATATGGCAGGGCGTGATATGGGAAGAGAGGGGGATAGGGAGATGGAAAGAGGGAGGGACAGGGACAGTAACAGTAACGAGGGAGAGAGAAGATCCGGTGCGAAAACAGGAGACGAGGGGGAGGAGGGAATATCAACGCGGCAGTGGCGGGAAAGAAAGAACAAGGGCATCCCCCCCCGGAGCACACAGCGTCCCACCACACAGTACTGTGCACCGTAACCCTAAACCCACCACACAGTAGTGTGCACCGTAACCCTAAACCCACCACACAGTAGTGTGCACCGTAACCCTAAACCCACCACACAGTAGTGTGCACCGTAACCCTAAACCCACCACACAGTAGTGTGCACCGTAACCCTAAACCCACCACACAGTAGTGTGCACCGTAACCCTAAACCCACCACACAGTAGTGTGCACCGTAACCCTAAACCCACCACACAGTAGTGTGCACCGTAACCCTAAACCCACCACACAGTAGTGTGCACCGTAACCCTAAACCCACCACACAGTAGTGTGCACCGTAACCCTAAACCCACCACACAGTAGTGTGCACCGTAACCCTAAACCCACCACACAGTAGTGTGCACCGTAACCCTAAACCCATCTTTGCTACTTGTACCCACACCAGTGCAGCGCACTTGGCGCAGAACGGTGAAGGGGTCATGGCTGGGCCCACTTGCACTCCCGCCTCTTCATCTCTCCTACCTCTAACCCCACCTGCACCGCACCTTGCGCACGACGCTCAAGGGTCCATCGCTGGGCTCACGTGCACCGTAGACCTAACCCCATCTTTCCTACGTCACGTGCACCGTAGACCTAACCCCATCTTTCCTACCTCACGTGCACCGTAGACCTAACCCCATCCTTCCTACCTCACGTGCACCGTAGACCTAACCCCATCTTTCCTACCTCTAACCGCACCTGCATCCCCACCCAACCGAGCAGCTGACCTGGCGCACGACGCTGAAGCGGTCCTCGCTCGCTGGGCCCAACTGCACTGCACGTCCACCTGCTCATCTTTCCCACCTCTTCCCCCACCTGCATCCCCAGCCCCATCTGCTGCTGACCTGGCGCACGACGCTGAAGGGGTCCTCGCTGGGCTCGTGGAAGTTGGGGCCGCGGTAGTCCACCACGTGGTCGGGCGCCTGCTCGTAGTTCACCGTGGGGTACACAGGGTCGCCGCCCCACACTGCATGTGGTAGTTGAGGAGGGGGGCACACAGGCGGTGGTAGAGGGGCACAGAGAGAGCATGGGCACACAGGCGGTGGTAGAGGGGCACAGAGAGAGCATGGGCACACAGGCGGTGGTAGAGGGGCACAGAGAGAGCATGGGCACACAGAGGAGGGTCCGCAGTAGTGCAGCACATGGTCGGGCTGCTGCTCGTAGTTCACCGTGGGTCGCCGCCCCACACTGCGTGGCACGGGAGAGGAGGAGGGAGAGGGGGGAGAGAGCGGGAGGAGGAGGAAAGAGAGGAGCGATCCTTCTGCATCTCACCATTCTGCATCTCACCATTCTGCATCTCACCATTCTGCATCTCACCATTCTGCATCTCACCATTCTGCATCTCACCATTCTGCATCTCACCATTCTGCATCTCACCATTCTGCATCTCACCCTTCTGCATCTCACCATTCTGCATCTCACCATTCTGCATCTCACCATTCTGCATCTCACCCTTCTGCATCTCACCATTCTGCATCTCACCATTCTGCATCTCACCATTCTGCATCTCACCATTCTGCATCTCACCATTCTCCCCACCTCCCTGACTCTCGTTCAAGTTGCTTTCACTGCCAATCTGCTACTCATCTCCCTCTCACCGGCCCTCACAGCTCTGCACCGCTGCTCACCGCGCTTGCACTGCTCACCGCGCTTGCACTGCTCACCGCGCTTGCACTGCTCACCGCGCTTGCACAGCTCACCGCACTGCACCGCTGCTCACCGCGCTTGCACTGCTTCTTGTCCATGCGAATGGCCAGCGGGTCCTTCTGCAGCCGCACGTCCCTCCCACTCATGGCGTTGTACTCGCGCTGGGTCTGGCGGGGGGGGGGAGGGGGGGGAGGGGGGGAGGGGGGGGAGAGGGGTAGAAAGTAAAAGAATGGTGGGTGGGTGGCGAATCAACCTCACGTCCCGCCCACCCATGGCGTTGTACTCGCGCTGGGTCTGGTGTGGTTGGCGGGGAGAGGGTGATGTGGAGAGACGAGAAGGAAATTGGTGGGTGGGTTAAGAATCAGCCGCCCGTCCCTCCCACTCATGGCGTTGTACTCGCGCTGGGTCTGGTGGGGGAGGGAGAGAAAAGGGCAGTGAGGAGAGCAGAGCGCAGTGAGGGAGAGAGGGCGGTGAGAAGAGGAGATGGAAAATGGTCGCCCAGCCGCTCCCTCAGAATGAAGAGAAGGAGAGGAGCAGGCGGAGGAGAAAGGGAGTGGAGTGGAGTGGAGTGGAGTGGAGTGGAGTGGAGTGGAAAAGTGTGATGAGAGAGAATGGCAGCCAGATGGAGCAAGCATTGGGATGGGATGAAGTATTGGGCATGAGTGAATGGCAGCATGTCACCTGCATGGGATGGGATGAAGTATTGGGCATGAGTGAATGGCAGCATGTCACCTGCATGGGATGGGATCAAGTATTGGGCATGAGTGAATGGCAGCATGTCACCTGCACGCCCCACCCACCCCACCCCACCCCACCCCACCCCTTCCCACCTGCATGGCGAGCATGTCGAGCAGCTGGTGCTCCATGGGCCGCCCTGTCTCCCTCGCCATGCGCCGCACGGCCTTGAGTGACGTGTCATGAGGCCATGCCGCCACCCACTCCTGGTAGTATGCCAGGTCGCCCAGCCGCTCCCTCAGCTCCTCCTCCTTCGCTAGCCTGGTGGGGTGCGCGCACCAAGTGGGGGTGGGCGTACAAGGGGGGAAAGGGAGGGAGCACGCAAGGGGCGGGTGGGCGCAGAGGGGAGTGTGGTGCGGCGAGGCCATGGCGCCACCCAGTCCTGGTGGTGGTATGCCGTCGCGCAGCCGCTGCCGTGACTCCTCCTTGGCTACCCTGGTAGGTGCATGGGTTAGCACACAAAAGCGGTGGGCGCACAGGGGGGTGGGCGCACAGGGGGTTGGGCGCACAGGGAGGTGGGCGCACAGGGGGGTGAGCGCACAGGGGCGCACAGGGGCGCACACGGGGACACACGGGGACACACGGGGGACACGTGAGGGGCACATGGGGGGCGCAGGAGGGGGGCAGGTCGTCCAGCTGCTGCCCCACCTCCTCCTCCTCCTCCTTTGCCCAGCCTTGCAGCGACGCAAGGAGGGAAGGGCACGATGAGGGGGGCAACAGATGGGGGCACATGTGGTACAGCAGCGGCACATGTGGTACAGCAGCGGCACATGTGGTACAGCAGCGGCACATGTGGTACAGCAGCGGCACATGTGGTACAGCAGCGGCACATGTGGTACAGCAGCGGCACATGTGGTACAGCAGCGGCACATGTGGTACAGCAGCGGCACATGTGGTACAGCAGCGGCACATGTGGTACAGCAGCGGCACATGTGGTACAGCAGCGGCACATGTGGTACAGCAGCGGCACATGTGGTACAGCAGCGGCACATGTGGTACAGCAGCGGCACATGTGGTACAGCAGCGGCACATGTGGTACAGCAGCGGCACATGTGGTACAGCAGCGGCACATGTGGTACAGCAGCGGCACATGTGGTACAGCAGCGGCACATGTGGTACAGCAGCGGCACATGTGGTACAGCAGCGGCACATGTGGTACAGCAGCGGCACATGTGGTACAGCAGCGGCACATGTGGTACAGCAGCGGCACATGTGGTACAGCAGCGGCACATGTGGTACAGCAGCGGCACTCCTCCGTGCACGGCGCAGCGTGGGAACAATCTCCATGACTCCCTTCCCCACACCCTCATCTCGCCTGCCACTGCCCCGCCTATCCTCATCTCACCTCGTATCTCCTCCGCCCTCACCTCTCATCGCCAAGTGGCTTGAGGCGCACCGTGGCACGCAATGCCTCTTGTGAGTCGACTCTAATGTCGTCCCACATTCTACCCAATGATCCCCCCCCCCTCAACTCCCCCCCCTCTCACACGGCGCGCACCTCTCATCGGCAAGTGGCTTGCGGCGCACCCTAGCAAGCACAGCCTCTGCCGTGGTGGGCTTGTCGCCGTGCAGCCGTATGTGCCCCGCCTCCGCTGCTGCTAGCGCCATCGCCTGAACGGGGTGGGGGGTTGGGGGAGAGGAGAGGGGGGGCAGGGCGGACGATGGGGTGTAAGCTGCTGCTGCTGTTAGCACCATTGCTAGAAGAAACGGGGGAATGGGGACAGGGCGAACGGAGTAGGGCGGACGGAGTTGCTGCTGCTGGTGGCGACATGGCCTGGTCAACGGGAAGAGGGAAGGGGAAGGAGCGAGTACGCGTGCAAGCAGGAGGGCATGGTGCTGGCCCCTCCGTGCATCACTGCATGCACCACCGCACTTGCAATGCCGCCATGCCGTGGCATGGCATGAATCGCACATTCTTTTAGGCGCTTGAAAGACACTTCGCGAGAGACACCTCACAACAGAACACACTACACCACTGCACCGCACCCCATCACACTGCACCCACCACAGCATCTGCGGAGGCAGCCTCTTCATGGCATGTCATCCCACACACTACATTCCACCACACCACATCCCATACCACCGCTGCCCACCGCATCAGTGGTGGCAACCTCCATCTGTCAGGCGGTCCAGATCTGCTGCTCGCCCTCGCTCGTCACAAATAGACACCTCACAAGAGACACCTCACAGCAGAACACACCACACCACAGCACCGCACTGCACCGTACTGCATCACGCTGCACGCACCGCATCGGTGGTGGCGGCCTCCTTCTGCCAGGCGGTCCAGATCTGCTGCTCGCCCTCGTTCTTCTGCCAGTTCCACCACACCTCCTCTGAGCCCGCCACCTCCAACGCCGCCACCTCCCCCACAAACGCCTCCCCCCGCGCCCACGCGCCCACTTCCCCCGCAGCCCCCTTCCCTAGCGCCACAGCCTGCCCCTCTGCGACCCCCTGCGTCTCCCCTGCAGCAGCACCAGCAACAGCAGTGGCGGCAGCAGCCTCTCTCTCGCGGTCCTCCAGCGCCCACGCTGCTCGCATGCGCGCCCACCCGCTCAGCCCCCTCAGCGCCGCGCTCTCCGCCTCCCACGCCTCGTCCTCCTCCTCCTCCCAGAACCGCCCGCCCCCCCCACTGCGCGCCAACCCCCCCTCCTCGTCCCCCCCCTCCTCCTCTCCCTCATCTTCCTCCTCCGCTTCGTCCCCCTCCCCCCACTCTTCCTCCTCGTCCTCGTCCCCGCTTCCCTCTCCGCCATCCCCCATGCCCACAGGCACGTACTCGCGCCCCTCCGCGCGCGCAATGTGCGCGCGCACGCGCTCCAGCGGGTCCGCCTCGCCCACCAGCAGGTTGCGCGCGCGGGGGAAGCGCTCGCCCTCGTTGGGGCGCGAGCAGACGGGGCGGATGTAGATGAAGGGGGAGGGGTACGACTGGTGCGACGCCAGGTAGTTGGGATTCGCGGACTCCTTTATATCCGTTATAAGGAACTCCTCCGCGTCTCTATACTCCTCCACTGCCGCGCGCACTGCCTCCGCCTCCGCCTCCGCGCGCCTCCGCGCCTCCACCTCCCGCCGAACCTCCTCCGCCGTCCGCCACCCCCTGTCATCAACCTCCCCCGCCCCCATTCCCGCGGTCATCTCGCCCTCCCCCTCGCCCTCCGCCTCCTCCGCCTCCCCCTCCGCGCCTGTCCCCGCGCGCGGGTCCCACTCTCCGTAGCTCGCATACCCCGCTTTCTCGTATTTTCCCCTCCCCTCCGCCCGCGCCTTTCCTGCCTGTCGTCTGCTGCTGCTGCCGCTGCCAAAAATTCGGTGGTTGGCGTCCCATGAAACGCGTTGCGGAGAAGGGGCACACACCAATGGGAGTCTGGCACGTGGCAATCTCCTGCAACGAGAACCCGGAAGGGGGGGGGCGGGTGGGGGGGGTGAGTGTGGCGCTTCTATCGCCGATGAGAGGCGAGTCGCCTGAGACACGAGAGAAGCAGAGCCTGAGCGAGTGGGCGAGTGGGCGAGTGGGCGAGTGGGCGAGTGGGCGAGTGGGCGAGTGGGCGAGTGAGCGAGTGGGCGAGTGGGCGAGTGGGCGAGTGGGCGAGTGGGCGAGAGTGGGTGAGTGGGCGATTGGGCGAGTGGGCGAGTGGGCGAGTGGGCGAGTGAGCGAGTGAGCGAGTGAGCGAGTGGGCGAGTGGGCGAGTGGGCGAGTGGGCGAGTGGGCGAGTGGGCGAGAGTGGGTGAGTGGGCGAGTGGGCGAGTGGGCGAGTGAGCGAGTGAGCGAGTGAGCGAGTGGGCGAGTGGGCGAGTGGGCGAGTGGGCGAGTGGGCGAGAGTGGGCGAGTGGGCGAGTGGGCGAGTGGGCGAGTGGGCGATTGAGCGATTGGGCGAGTGGGCGAGTGGGCGAGTGGGCGAGTGGGCGAGTGGGCGAGTGAGCGAGTGAGCGAGTGGGCGAGTGGGCGAGTGGGCGAGTGAGCGAGTGGGCGAGTGGGCGAGTGGGCGAGTGGGCGAGTGGGCGAGTGGGCGAGTGGGCGAGTGGGCGAGTGGGCGAGTGGGCGAGTGAGCGAGTGGGCGAGTGGGCGAGTGGGCGAGTGGGCGAGTGGGCGAGAGTGGGTGAGTGGGCGAGTGGGCGAGTGGGCGATTGAGCGATTGGGCGAGTGGGCGAGTGGGCGAGTGAGCGAGTGAGCGAGTGGGCGAGTGGGCGAGTGGGCGAGTGAGCGAGTGGGCGAGTGGGGGAGTGGGCGAGTTAGCGAGTGAGCGAGTGAGCGAGTGAGCGAGTGGGCGAGTGGGCGAGTGAGCGAGTGGGCGAGTGGGCGAGTGAGCGAGTGAGCGAGAGGCTGAGGGACTAACCTGACGAGCGGACGTTCCGAGGCAGCACCGCCGCACCGCACGGCCGCACGCAGCCCCGGCCGTCCGCCGCCGTGCCATTGGCCCGGGGGCGCGACTCTCGGCGCGGCGGCGCGCAGAGATGGCGTCGCGATCGCCTCCATGGCGGCTCGCGCTGGCGGCGCGCAGTGGCGCGACACGCGGAAGTCCGGTGGATGGCGGCACTAGCGGATGAAAGTGAGTTGCGACGATTTGCGACTACACTGCTGCGCGACGGTCACTGATTGTTCAGCGCAGTACGCGGAGAGGACGAGGGGAGCCGCGAATGCGCTTCGCGAGCCGCTTGAGTAGCGATAGGTAGATTATGATAGTGACATGGCTTGAGTCAGTGCCTAAGACGTGATGACCTCTGATGGCAGATCATGGGTTTTAGGGCCGATTGGCTTGTGGCAGTACTAGCGGTCGGGTGAACCCGCTATGGGATTCCGCGTTAAGAAACGGATCGCATCTTCATGCTAATATGAAAGATAAAAACAAACATTCTCAATAAACAGATCAGGGTAAAAAGGTATCAATTGCCATATATATACATTTAAATATCAGGGTAAAATATATTGAAACCATAATATTCAAGGCAATAGTATTGTTGTCTCAAGAGTGATGCATAGCGGAATGAGTGACTAGCAAGATGGGAGATACAAAAGCCAAACCTAGAAAGTGTTGTACTCCCTACTGCCCTACTCACTATAGCCTATCAACATAATGTATAACATTTGACGCACCCCCATAGGCTACGTGAGGGGAGGGGCATCAAAACAAGCAAAAGAAACAAAGGGTCACAAGAACAGTCAAGAGAAACAACAAGGCAACGCTCCGAGTGGATCTCAAGATCAGCACACATTTCGAGCAAAAGCAAACGGGCACAAGGCCTGTTCAAGAGTTTACAAATATATATAGATGCAAGGACAAGCAGACCAAGCAACAAGAAACAATGCTTAAGTAACCTAGCACCAGTGTCAACAAATCGTAACTGCAGACAGAACCTGTGGTGATCAGTAGGCGCTAGGGACTTGGTGAAAATGTCTGCAGTGTTGGCCTCTGAGGCCACGAAGTCCTAGCGTGCCTGGCCGCGTCGCTGCAACTCTCGCAGGAGAAAGTACCTCACGTCAATGTGCTTCACTCTGCTCTCCAATCGAGGCTCTCGACACAGGAGGATTATGGCCTTGTTGTCAGCAAACAAGGTCGGTGCAGAGCGAGGCCGCTCACCAAGGTCTGCGAGCAAGAAGGCCAACCAACAAAGCTTCTGCGCAACCATGACACCAGTGTAGATCTCTGCCTCTGCACTGGACGAAGCCACAGACGACGACCGAGTAGACCTCCACGACACAGCTCCAGTGCCCAAGCTGAAGCAGTACCCCTGAGTGGACCTCTGTGTCTCCGCGTCGTCGACGTAGGAATAGTCGCATGCCCCAGTCGGAACAACTGGCTGTCTCCCTCCAAGCACAAGCCCCATGCCTGATGTAGTCGCTAGGTACTTTGCCACCCTCACAGCAGCTGTCCAGTGAACAGGACGGTGTCTCCCAGTCGCAACAAAGCGGGAGAGGACGCTGAGAGGAAAGGCGAGGCCCGGACGAGTACAAGTCATCAGGTACATGAGGCAGCCCAGAAGCTCTGCGTAGGGACCACTAGACTCAAAGGGCTCGTCAGGAAAAGGGCCGGTGAGTCTGTGGTCAACGGCAAGAGGAGTGGGCTGTGTGGTGGAGTGCTGAAGCCCGAACCGCTGAAGGACCTGCTGCACCATGTGTGAATGTGAGAGTGTAATGGTGCGAGCGGCTCTGTCCCTAGTGATCTGCAAGCCAAGGTAGCGGCGCAGCTCACCAAAGTCAGTGCACGTGTGTCTCTTCTGCGGTTTGGACTTCACCTCACCCAGAGCGGCCCTGTCTACTGTAGCAAAGACCAAGTCGTCGACGTAGACGAGGACGAAGAAAGGTGTGGGCCCAGAACGAACGAACAGCGACGGGTCGGAGGACGAAGGACAAAACCCGAGGGCAGCAAGAGTGGTGCACAGCGTGTCGTGCCACTCACGGGGCGCCTAGCGGAGACCGTAGACTGGTCGTCTCAGGCTCCACTGGGTCCCAGGTAGGATAGTTCCAGTGAAGCCAGGAGGACGACGCAACCAGATCTCCTCGTGCAGGCTGCCCTCGAGAAAGAAAGTGGAGAAGTCAAGGGAGTGCAACTCGTAGTCTTGTTGTGCTGCAACGTGAAGTAACACCCAAAGAGTCGTCATCTTCGGGGTCGGGGCGAACGTCTGAAAGAAGTCAACTCCCTCACGCTGACTGAAACCTCTAGCCACGTAGCGCGCCTTGAAAACAGGCGGCGATCCAGGCGGCCGCTTCACATTGAAGATCCACATGCCGTCGACTACGTTCGCCCTAGGAGGGGGAACTGCGTCGACGTAGATGCCTGTGGATCTCCAAGATGCCATCTTTGAGTCAATGGCCACTTTCCACTGAGAGGCCCATTACCGTAACACTGCCTCACGGTACGTGCGAGGAGTCGGAATGTCACGGGCGTTGGGGTCTCCCTCAGGAGGAAGCAACATGGCACAGAGAGAGGGAGAAGCGGCTGCCAAGAACTCCAGCTCAAACTGCCTGTCCTCTATGACGTCACAGCCAGGAGCAAACCCACCCCCGGCGGACAGAGGACGGGCAGGCGGAGCAGCAACTATACGCGTGGTAAAGTCAAGGCGGCGGGTGGCAGCAAAGTCAGCGACAGCTGCAGCTCCTGCCTCTTCTGCTCCAACCGCTCCTGCTCCTTGCGCTCAAGCCGGCGAAGAGCCTGGAGACGCATGTCGTAGCGGTGGGGAGGCGCAGTGGGCGCCACAGTAGTAGTGCCTCAGATCTAGCACCTCCAGTGCCAGAAACTTCAGCTCTAGCACCTCCAGCTCCAACACCCCCAGAACTAGCACCACCAGTGCCAACACCTCCAGCTCCAGCACCCCCAGAATTAGCACCACCAGTGCTAGCACCTCCAGCTCCAGCACCCCCAAAACTAGCACCTTAAGTGCCAGCACCTCCAGCTCCAGCACCCCTCGAACGAGCACCCCCAGACCGAGTACCTCCAATGGCAGCACCTCCAGCTCCAACACCCCCTGAGTCCACAGTAACCTATCGCGGAAGTGCCGAAGGCTGCTGAGGGGACTGTGAGGAAAACTGCGGGGAGGGAGACGCTACCTGACGCGCGACCGAGGGTAGAGGGGTAGCGTGAGACACACCTGACAGGGCGGGATCAGGGGGGGGCGGGGGTACCGGAGGAGCGGGAGCAGGAGGAGGAGAGGGGGCGAGGAAGAGGGGGAGAGGGGGAACCGGGAGACCTCGACAGGGGTAGCGAACGTAGTAGGACACTGACTCGTCAAACAAGACGTCACGGGAGTCGAGGAAACGGTGGAGGGGCGGGTGGTAAAACGTAAAGTCAGGAGCGTCCACTCGGAAACCAAGGAAGACACATGGGATGGCTCGAGCCGAGAGCTTATCCGCAGAGGTGTCGCGGACAAGCGCAAGGCAGCCCCAGACTTGAAACTCCGACGCAACACCAGGGGACCCGGTCCAAAGAATGGTCGGTGAATCTCCTGGTCGTGAGGCACGAGGCCAGAGGTTCAGCTGGTGGGCGGCGTAGCGAACCGCGTAGGGCCACAGAAAATGGGGCGCACGGGCATGGATCATGGAGGTGTGGGCGATCTCTATGACCAAGCCAATGCGGCGCTCATCAACCTCATTCTGCTGTGGGGACTCCGGAAGCGTCCAGGACTGTGTGATGTCCTACTCGCCGTAGAACCTGGCAAGTACGTCGGAGCGGAACTCAACCCCACGGCGGAGTGGAGACAACTGACGTGACTACCACGAGTGCCCTCAATGTCCAGGAGCCACCGGATCAGCGTAGAAGTCACCTCGGACTTCTTCGCTAGAGGAAACACCGTGGTGTACCTGAAGTAGTCGTCAACGACCACGAGGAAATAGCACTCCCACTCGGGTCCAAGACGAGGGGCTGGGCCCCAGACGTCCAAGTGAAGGGTCTGGAAGGGAGCGGTGGCTGAAGGAAGGGAGGAGGAGTGAGGAGCGGCGCGCAGCCGACCCTCGACGCAAGGAGTGCACAGCGGCGCAGGCGAGCAAGGGAGCGATTCAAAGAGCCGCGGGAGACCTAAGACAAGACGTTGGTTGGCCATGCTACGGAGGCGTGGGAGGTATGGGTGACCTAGACGGTGGTGCCACAAGACTGTTGGGTGAGAGAGTGATCGACAAGAGCAAGGCGCATCAACCTGACCTGAGGCAGCTACCTGACCGGGCGCAGTAACGTGACTTGACGCAGCTACCTGGGGGGGCGGAGTGTTCAGGACGAAGAGACCTGACTGAGGCTTTCTGGTAAATGTGGCAAGAACTGCCCCAGTGGAAGCATCTGTACAGATCGGAGTCCTCCCGTGCGCAGGAAAAGTGACTGTGATCATGGTCCTGAAGGTATCCAACACCCACCAAGTCCGAGAGAAAGAGGGGATATAGAGACCAGTAAGGACACGAGAGGGGACAGCCGGGCATGGGAGGGTGGTAGAACTGCGAGCGACAGCTGGTCCTGAAGTAGGATGAGCCAGAGCAACTGGGACCGGAGCAACAAGAGGTGTGACAGTAGTGTGGTTGCGGAAGAAGCACTGGGACGCGCCAGAGTCCAGCGTGAAGGAGAGTGACGCGTCATCAGTCGTCACAACTGCACTAGTAACTACACAAGCGCCTACACTAGAAGCACAAGCACCTACACTAGCAACAGGCAAAGGACCTAAGCTGGGTACACGTAAGTCAAGAGATCCATACGTGATAGAATATACAACATCCATAGACATATCAAACACACGGTAACCACTACGAGACAGACCGGGCCGGATCGGGGGAGCCGAGTCATGCCCAAAACGCTCATGGCAAAGGTCGTCGAGGCGGCTGTAGCAGCGCAGTGCAGAGTGGTCAGGACGCCAGCAAGTAGTGCCAGCATGAGGGCCAGTCAGGATCCGGTACTGGCAAGGTCCAACGTCGCGGCCACCACGACTACCCCTCCAGCCGTCTGGGCAGAAGCTCCCCGGACCACGAGGCCCCAACTGCTGCGGAGGGTGCCACTACTGCGG